ATGAAGTCCTTCATTGAGCTGATTCCATAATATCTCTTCATCAGAAATTTTTAATGCTAATCTGACAGCCTTTGTAATGCAATATCAACCTTGGCCTATCTAAGCAAATGTAAATTAGCAACCAGAGATGTTTGTTATTATAAAGTTGCAAAACTTTGGAATACCCACTCACATTGTTTGGTTTTCAAAAGAGAGGGTGGATTCTGATATCATATTTTCTGACATCGCAAGTTTTACATAAATTTTAAGTATTTTAATTTGCCGTTTAGCGGTCTGTCAATAACTGCTGGATGAGGTATAAGCAGAGCTGTACACACTTTCGGGGTATAGAACAGGACGGTTCTAAATTGCCTCTCCGAGTTTCACGCTTAACGTGACCATCAGGCAATTTTGCAATGCCTAAGGTTTTGTCACTCTTTTTCATTATATATATATATATATATTTTAGTTGAAGCTTTAATGCGAGGACCCTTTGAAAACCAGCTATTGCTGAGGGACAACCCTACTTAAAATAATTAAACATGAAAGACTGCTCATCGAAGCATCGGAAAATGGTATCTTTGAATGCACTTGACATAATGGAGAATATGTTTTATTTTAAGCATGGACTTGGTTTCAGTCAGGAATAAACACAGATGGTGCCCACAACCCAGTGACAAGTAGAAGACTCCAGAAAGGTGATATCATCAGCATAAATTGCTTCCCTATGATAGCTGGGTAGGTCAAAATCAGCAATATATTTACTTTTTGTTTCTTTGTTAAGATAACTATAATATAACCAGCATTTGGGTTTGTTTCTGAGCACACCAACAAAAAACAGGTTCTTAGATATGTTAAGGGTAAGTCCCTTTTCAATTTTGTTACCTAGGTTTTGTTACCTAGGTAAACAGGGTAACCGACGTGAAATTTGACACGACTTTTATTTTGTGACACGATTTGCGGCTTTGCAGCCTTATCCATTCGTATTTTCACAGTGGCACACGGTTACGCGATTTTTTCAGCAGCCCTGCAATTTTCGCGATGTTTTTCGTTCAGTAGAGACTGAAACTAGTTCCCTGAATCAATGCCTTCCGTGGCATGCTTTCTGTAGCCACATATTTCTTTGCTGTATGTTTGGGCTTAGAAGGAAATTCTCGGTAAACTCGAAATTGTTTAGATTTAGACTTGCATCTTTTGGAGAATTCTATATTTTCTGCCTTTTGAACGAAGCAATAACCAAAATATTTCAATGAAATTTATTTTGGGAAAATCATTATTATACTGAATTTTGCAATGGGATGCTTCTTCACGGTAAAAGTTTTGTCTAGGGACGAAGTAATGCTAGTGTTTAAAGGGTCTGAGTCATCGCCCTTTATGCAACTACAGATTATAAGATTAAATAAGATTTTGCCCAATGGATTATGTTTTTTGACTGGATGCAAGGCGAATGACTCGAGTAATTGTTTATCTCAAAATACCTAAGTTTATTCAGTCGGCTACAGTAGCAGAAGCTTTTTTAATTAGAGAATTAAGTGGATAAATCGAGTGTAATCTTGATTTTTGTAAACAGGTATTACACTGCACTGGAAAGAACGCTGTTCTTTGATCATGCATCAGATGCGCATTTAAAAGTGTGGGAGGCAAATTGCAGGGTGTTGAAACGAGGACGGGAACTACTCAAGCCAGGTGCTTCATGTGCAGAGATTGCGAAGGAGCTTAACGAAATGTATGAGGAGGAGAACCTGCTGCAGTACAGAACCTTTGGATACGGTCATTCATTCGGAGTTTTGTGTCACTACTATGGAAGAGAGGCTGGCCTGGAATTGCGTGAAGATATTGACACTGTAATAGAGCCAAATATGGTCATTTCTATGGAGCCAATGGTGACAATACCGGAAGGAATGCCTGGAGCTGGGGGTTACAGAGAGCATGATATATTGGTTATGAAGGAGGATGGGGCAGAGAATATCACCAATTTTCCCTTTGGTCCAGAGCATAATATAATAAAAGGCTAGTTGTTTTAAAGGGGTTACTAGCATTTTGTACGGATAAAGGGGAGGGAGATCACCTTTTGATCGATCGATTTTGGATTATAGATAGATAATTGTAGTTTGATTCTAAATTTTTGGGGGTATAATCTTTATGTTGAGCTAGATATCATATATAATTTTAGGAGTATAATTTTGCTAATTCTAAAGATTGTAGTGATTTCTCTACTAAAAGAATTGTATAGTGCTTTTAGAGGATGAAGCATGCTCTTGAACTCGTTGTAAACGTTTTTGATTTTTATGAATTTGAATTATCCGATTGTTATCATTATAGAGGCCGTAGCAAGTACATTGCCGTTTTTGTAGAGAGTTTTCTAGTTCTTACAGAGGGGATCATGATAAAAAATCAGACTGAAGTTAGGACAAAGACTGATTATAGCATTCTTACATTCTTACATTCTTACGATTATAGCATAACATTACAATTCTAGGTTGATATACGAACAGGGAAGAAATACAATGACCAACTTTACTAGTACATTGAGAAATACCAACCGGGTGGTTATCTGGCCGGGACATTTCTAAATTGTAGAAAGTAGAATTTTACAATACATACATGAACGATTGTAAAAATTAAGAATGCATAGTAAAAAGAAATAGAAGAAAAACAGTGGACACAGCAGATAAGAGATATTGAATTTGGCAGGATAAGAGTAAAGGAATGAAGTTCTTTAAATAATGATTTGTATTAGTTTTGACTAGAATGGAACCATCGAATTTCATCAGGTATCTTTTTCAAACGTTTATACCTTTGTTAGTCATAGGACTTTTTTGATATTTGTTGTGGCCATGAGGAGAGAATCAGTTTGTTACTGTCCTGTCGGGGTTAATATCTATGTAGTTGTTTGGAACAAATGGGTAAAAACCTCCGGCTGGTTATTGTTACTAAATTCATGGTGTACATTATCTGCCATGGACAGTAAATTCGTCATAACTTGGGATTTTTGAAGCACATATCTCTAATTACCTTGTGCTGGTATGTCTGACTTATCCGGGATACAACTTTTGACTTGAGTAAGGTTGGAGAATCGAATGGGAATTTGAAACCAGTCAAATTTAGTTAAAGTTCGAGTTATCCGTCGAGTTAACGATTCGAATTAATTTTAATTTTAACATTTTGCGATGTATTTGTGATTTTATGAATGTCGTTAAAGGGACCAACACAAGTTAAAAGGCGATTAACATGTAAAGGAGCCAAGTATACTAGCGATTTATTCGGATTCTTCAACAAGAGCACATTTTGTTCTAGACCAATCAACGGGTTTGTTTACAAAATGTCATTAGCCAATCACCGGCCTCCATTTCGAGCTTGATTTTTGAATGTTTCAAACCAAAACACAGTTGCTGTGGAGAAAAACCTACCCCCATACTTTTGCCCGGGAAAAAAATTTACGTTCTTTAACCTAGAAGATTTTTCAAACTTAGTTTCTAGAGTATTTGTTTCGTACAAATCTCGGAGCCCTAAGCAGAAACACAAACGGTGTCTAAAATATCTGCACTGAAACATCACCTATTTCCCACCAGAGACCTACCTCCAAAAATGGCCAGCCCCTAATTTACTTTATATGAAGCTTTCGTTAATTAAACAAGGAAACATTTTAAGATTTAAGTTACCTGATAGTTTGCGCAAGCAAATCACCCAGCTATCACTTGGGAATAATGTATTTTCTTAAAAAACTAGGCTTTATAATTGCCTATTCCCTCCTCTACACTACCGCACGGGATGCCTAGGCCCTTTCTGAACATTCCTTCTGAGCATCACAGTCAATGAAACTCAAACCACTTTTGTGAAGCCATTAGACATCAGTCTATAGTTTGAAGCCAAAAAGGCCAAAATATTGGCAATACTTTCAATTCAATTTTTGAGAGATATCATCTTTTCAAAAAGTAACAAAGACCCACTTTTTCTAGACAGTCTCAAAGCCTTGGAACCTTACTGATACCTGCTAAAAGGTTTTTAGAACAAGGCACGATAACTTTAGAAATATCTTTGCTAAATCAAATTTGGTTGTTTGAGAACCAATATGATCAAATTGGCCTTGAATTAAAATTTATTCTCGTACCGATTTACTTCAGCAAGAGTTGCCTCTGTAAATGAATTCTGTGGCTTTATGACCATAGTTCTAAATGATATTTCTACTTTGTAAGAACGTTTCAGAACTGCTAGAATGTTACCAAATGCTATGCTTGTTTTCTAATCGGTCGGTGACATCTATACATGCATGTATTTATCCCAACTGAAAGAAAACACTTTGAATTTCTCTTTTTTCAAAAACTATCTGTCTCAAGAAGGAGTAAACTTGTAAAAAATTACTATGTTTTATGGGCCATGTACACTGTACCCACAAGTACCTGCACTTGCAATAAAATAAGCCTTTCTTTGCACAACCTTGTAAGATTTCTATGTAAACTCACAGATACTTAACTTTATGCTTGGGTGTCTAAGACTGCTCATTTCCCTCTGTGTTATTAATGAACTGCTCATTTCCTTATGTTATGAAAGAATAGGTCAAACATCTTGGTCCAATTTTTTTGTACTTCAATGGAGACCATTGTGTGTATGTTACAAGAGAACTCAATCCATATAGAATTTTTCGAAAGCCTCCAAGTCCATCTTTTCGAAAGCCTATCTTTTCGAATTTTTCGAAATTTCCAAGTTCATCAATTCATTGCGGCAATGTTCAATCCAGTGCACGGAAAACCAATGCTGCAGTTTTGTCAAAACCACACTTCATCTCCTTGAATGCAAACACTCCCCTCACGAAAGTATCAGGACAGTTCAACAATCGAATTCATTTTCGGACAAAAACAAATTCAGGCTGATGATAACGACTTATGATAATAATTTTTTGAGAAACCCTTACAAAATGAAACAAGTCATCAAACTGTTGCAAAACTTCTGCCCTTTTCATCTGTTATACATTTTTTCCTAAAATAAGAAACCTTTGCGCTACTTGCCTTACGCAAATCAACGGATGTCAAATGTCAGGTGACTGGGATTCATTTTCGTTTCCTTCGCTACCAGCTTGACAAAAACCCTCACAACATTTACTTACACATGGATAAAATAATTTTTTTAGACAAATAAATAGTTCAAAGGCCAAAGAAACTTATAGAAAAATTCAAGGAAATTCAGAAAACAGTTTTGCAATCAAAAATCTATAAATTGTAAATTCGAAACTTTCCAGATACTTTCATGAGGGGAGTGAGTTAACAAAATTTTCGCTATTGGCAGTAGCGTGCCTCAAATGCCTTGAAAGGACGTTCGGCTTAAAATAGCTTTGAAACGACCAAAGGCTGATAATGTATCACTTGCCACAAAACTCAAGGCCAATTTGATCATATTGGTTCTCAAACAACCAAATTTGATTTAGCAAAGATGTTTCTAAAGTTATCGTGCCTTGTTCTAAAAACCTTTTAGCAGGTATCAGTAAGGTTCCAAGGCTTTGAGACTGTCTAGAAAAAGTGGGTCTTTGTTACTTTTTAAAAAGATGATATCTCTCAAAAATTGAATTGAAAGTATTGCCAATATTTTGGCCTTTTTGGCTTCAAACTATAGACTGATGTCTAATGGCTTCACAAAAGTGGTTTGAGTTTCATTGACTGTGATGCTCAGGAGGAATGTTCAGAAAGGGCCTAGGCATCCCGTGCGGTAGTGTAGAGGAGGGAATAGGCAATTATAAAGCCTAGTTTTTTTAAGAAAATACATTATTCCCAAGTGATAGCTGGGTGATTTGCTTGCGCAAACTATCAGGTAACTTAAATCTTAAAATGTTTCCTTGTTTAATTAACGAAAGCTTCATATAAAGTAAATTAGGGGCTGGCCATTTTTGGAGGTAGGTCTCTGGTGGGAAATAGGTGATGTTTCAGTGCAGATATTTTAGACACCGTTTGTGTTTCTGCTTAGGGCTCCGAGATTGTACGAAACAAATACTCTAGAAACTAAGTTTGAAAAATCTTCTAGGTTAAAGAACGTAAATTTTTTTCCCGGGCAAAAGTATGGGGGTAGGTTTTTCTCCACAGCAACTGTGTTTTGGTTTGAAACATTCAAAAATCAAGCTCGAAATGGAGGCCGGTGATTGGCTAATGACATTTTGTAAACAAACCCGTTGATTGGTCTAGAACAAAATGTGCTCTTGTTGGATTCTTCTAGAATTTTATTCCAACTTTTCAGTGGTACAGGCCAAATTTTTACTCAAAGATTATTGTTGCAAATTATTGGTGTAAGAAAAGCAATCTTTAACCTTATAAAGTCAAGTAATTGTAAAACTGATGCAAAATTGTCATAACAGCTACTCTTTTCTATATTTCGGTTTTAACTTAGTTGTCACAAGAACCAAATGATAGCGCAGAAGCCTCACATCCACAAACCTAGTAAATGTCATTCTGAAAGTTAATGTGCCTGTCAGGAGAATCAACAATAGCTGAAACCGCAAACCTTCTCTTGAAAGACGTAATTGCCTTTCCGAAAGGGATCCACTTGACAACATCTAGCCGCTGAAAATAGCATTTGTCAAAAGTGGGGAGAAAGCTATGTTACAAAATTTAAAAAATCGAAAGCTGAGCACTGAAACACTTTTAAAAAGATGTAGTTTCACTTGTGTTCTGGCCTTGGGGTGTTGGTTTTTCTTCACTTTGATTTTTGTGTTCAACTTGTTTCTTCTTTCTTCGCCTTATCTTCTTGGATAAAAAGTAAATCGAAGGGTCCATCACTGGATTCAGCCATTGTAAAAATGCGACGTATTTCAAGTTATCATTCAATTTTCTATAGTACATTATGGTAACATTAGCGGGGAAAGTGCAAATGATGAATAAGACAGTAACCAGTATGGAATAAAGAAGAATGTACTCTGATTGGGACGAACTGGCGGTCGATGCAAGTCGTTTTCTCAGCCGTACCCGATAGCAGATAAAACTGTAAGATAAAATAAGCAATAGAGCACAAATAAATGTCAAAACTGGAACAAGAATGAACATTGTTTCCTTCAAACTCACCGCATAGAACAACGCTACAACGATTGCAGTGGTAAGCCAGATTAGAGCAAGTACAATAGCACAGCGCTGTGAGGTGATGAGGTGTTTACTTCTGAAAGGTAACAGCACTGCAACCAAACGCTGCAAGGAGACAAACATCAAATGGAGCAATGATGTTATGAGTGAGAAGGCGATCAAACTCGAGAATATTTGGTGATAAACTGGAAACATTTTATGTGTCACTGGAGGAAATGTTGCACCGGCAACTGTAAGCCAGATGCAGTTCAACAAATCAGCTACAGTAAGACTTAAAATCGTCATCTGGAATGGCCGTTTTAGCTTGCGTTCTTTGTAGAGGGCAGCGATAAGAAGTGTGTTTGCAATGACACCAACACCACCAATTGTTGGGAAGACTGTTTTGTAGTAAAGATCCATTTGCTACCTGCACCAAAAGCTGTTCGCTATTTGTGTCAATGCCTACAAGTAAAGAAGATGTACCGGCTTTGGAACCTACAGCAATCAGACTAAGTCGCTGCTGATGTTCTGGAAACCTCGTTCCACATGCTAACCTGCTAACTGAAACTTGGAGCTTGTCGCTTTTATTTTAATGGTAGCTTCAACAGCTGCATCCTGAAGGAAACTATGACTCGAAGGAATTTTAACAGAAACCTATCAAGTAAAAAACGTGATGTGTAAACAAAATTGCTTTTATGTTCTGACTTTCTAGTTAATAGAAGACTGAATAGATTCAACAAGTAGCAGCTCAATCTTTTACTCCATTGCCAGCACTGTCTTTAAGATTATATTGAGTCCATGTACAAAGTAGACAGATGTGCCCTCTTTTTCATTAGGCCACACTGTCGATTCATTCCTTTAGAACTTAACGACAAGCATGTGTGATGAGTATACATTCTCCATGATGTAACATATCACATTAAGCTTGGGCCAAAAAGAAGGCGAGCGAACCTAGCTGTTTTCATGCAAATTTATTACACACAGCTCTGCTGTTCGAGGGAAGAATTCCTAGTAAATTGAATTAATATGTTGCTTTTAAGCTGCTAGGAGCAAGAAACGAGACTTTTAGAAATTTGACAACAAAGATGACTGGCTTCGAGAAGCTTCAGTGATGAATAGACTCAGCAAGAAGTCAATTCTATCAACCAGTTAGAAGGAATAAATAGCAAGGTACTTTGAATTGGCAGCAATCAAGACTTATTAGTCTGAATCGTTTGCAATTACGAAATCTCTAAAGCACAATCAAATGAGAGAAAGTAAATTTCTTCGAAAAATGGCATGGGGTTTACTTGCATGTGACCATACCAGTTTTCAAGAAGCAATGTCCAAACAAGTAATGCTCGGATATTTTCAAATTGAGTTAACTGACTCCGTGCATTCTGTTTCTAAAGTTCTTCTGACAAAATTTTGAGAATGGTGTTTGGGATACGAGTCTAAATTCCCATTGTCCAGGGATATCGTTCGATTCATTTGGGCATTAGGCCAAAGTTTCGCAGAAAAAAGTTCCTTCTCATAGTGCTTTACAACATTTGATGATGGCCTTCCATTTTCATTTTTCTCTACAACCCATTTTCCTCTAAAATTTCTTCTTTTTTTGATTAGATACTGGCTTGACCTCCATAAGCACCACGAATGTTTTACACCAAATTATATAAGGCGATTTGAAAATAACGTCGTGGATTTTAACTGCTCGTGTGCATATGATGCAATATTTTGAATGCAAACGAACCTTTGAACAAAGGCTGGCTCGTCTCCTAAACAAAACAGAAATCTAGGCTAATCAGAAATCTTTCCTTGCCTTAAATGCCCTGGAAATGATCTTTATTTTGAAAGGAAAGTAGCCCCGGGTGCCGTTTCAAATGTCGTGCTCAGTCTTTCAGTGGCTGATTTGCTGGCTTCTCTGTCGGTGGTAATCTGCGCTCCTTTGATACTGCCGATGACGTATTAAAAAAATGAAAGTTTCAGGTACTTAGAAAAAAATGTTTTCTTTTACAATCAAATCATTAAAGCAAAAGAAATCTGCTTAAGTGGAAAAAATTGAAGGTTTTTCTCTTGATTGAATTGAATCGTCAACATAAAGGCAGTTCCGCGTAATCAAAGGAAGTTCAATTCTTTTCTTAATTGAAATCAATCATAAAATTAACGAGCGTTTGGCGTATATATGAAAAATCGATTTTTCGCGTGATCAAATTAAATAATTATCCGAGCGGCAGTTTTGTTCAAATCTAAAAGGCATCCTTTTTTCATAATTGATTCAAAGTGATTAATAATTTTAAAAATTGCATTTTTTATACATAGATAGAGGTATCCCAACAATGTTCCATCTCTCTTGAAAAATCGAATTGATTTTAGGTTTGAGTCTTCACCAGTTTGCAGCCGTGCGAATACCTTGTCGGTAGATCGATTCTTAAGTTGGTATGTTGGTATAGCTTTGTAGGCATTAAAAGAGGTTGCCCAGTGTTTCTTTAAACGAACCTGCCTTTTGTTTACAGGGGATCCGGTGCAGAACCGTACTGGATTCATGATCTCAAACGTGGTCCGGTATGGTTTCATACTACATTCAAAGCGGAGTGATTTGTCTCTGCGGAAAAACGAGGTAAAACGAATGGGATTCAAGCGTTTTTATTTTGATAAATAAACGCCTTTCTTTTATGACGTTTTTTATATATATATAATCCAACAAACAATTTTCAAATACATATCACAAAATACTTTACATACAGAAAATTACTCTACAACACTACTAAGGACGATACCCCGAAGAGCAAAGTACTGTGTCTACCCCGAGGCCATCAAACATAAGAAAGAATAGAAAGGTTTCATGAAACTTAAACATACATTCAACTACATACATGTGTACTAAAACAGTATAAAATATAAGATGGTGGCATTGCCAAGGTAGGGACGATCTTAAGCAAGTCAACCAGTTTTACGGATAAACTGCAACTTTAATTGTAATATATTTCTATTCATGCCATTGGGTGAGTCTTTATCACCATACAGTAATGGCTCAATTAAAACATTGCTTGAAGGATCGGTATATACAAATGGTCGCAGTAGTGCAAATACTCCAGCGAGAAGATCATTTAGTTCCTCGTCAGAAAAGGGGCAGTGCAACAAAAAGTGCTCTGTATCCTCAATACCATCAATTGTTCGTCACATTGAGTTAATTGTATCCGTAAAATTGTGTTTGAATTTGTGACAGTTCAGTTTTCTGAGACCAATCCTGAGTGGTGTAATATAGGATTTTCCTAATGGTTCGTAGATGCCAAAAATGGCGTGTATTCTGATATAAAATGAATCTGGGTTAATGTGAGCAGGGCTCGAGTCTCCTATCATCATTTGTACGTTTATATTTGAATCAATATCCGATACGTTTATATTTCATTTCAATGTTATTTGACACGATGGGCTGTTGAGCTTTAGCTTACTCGCTGGAGTTTGTTATTGTTCGCAATTTCTTATGGTCTCTTGTGCCACACTTTCTCATGTATTTTGTATCCGCTCTACTAGTTTATGTGCAATGCGGGCAGTCGTTTGGCCTCATGAGGATCTGATTTTTTAAACTAGGGTAAGAAGGTGTTTTGATGGTCGCGTTTTTATTTCCTTGGCTAATCTAAGAGTATTCAAGGTATTGGCATAACATGCAAATTTGATGTTTATTTTGTTCGTGACGACTGAGTGAGAGCTAGCTATCAGATGAATGAAATAACGACTCGCCAGGTATGTTTACACGCTGTTCTAGAAAATGCTTTGGTGTTTGTTGCTTGGCAATTTCACCCAATATAGGTACGAATTCGAGCGTCCAAGGTTCGTTGGAAGAAAATTTCTTCGTGGAAAATTTTACCTCGTGCTCCGGCTTTCTCCATGGATATTTTCGCTCATAATGTAATTACAGCTACTTCTGCCTACAGTTCCACTATCAATTCGCCGACAAAATTTCTTTGGTAGCAATTGTTTACGGCTCTTTACCAATACCGTTTTTTGCTTTTTTAACATAGATAGGTATAATAGTAAGGTTTAATTTTCATTAAATTTTCATGACTTTGGCCGCTCGGGCCGCGCTTTTCGCCGTCGAGTAACCGTTTTTTCTTCCAAATATTCCTCGCTATAAAGTAAACAGTATCTGAAGTTTTGTTTAATGGGGTTGTTAATGCTTGGAAATTTCAATATTTGCAATTTAAACAAAACAATTCGAATTATAGCGTCATTTATAGGTTTTAGGGTTTGTTGTGTCGGTAATAGTTGTCCGTACTATGCTATTGATTCGTTGCCTTAGTGCAGCAAGATAAAGTTGCAAGCGGTTCCCCTTGCACTAGTATTTCATCAAAGATTTGGTGATAAATTATTAATGGTATTCTTTCTAGATTTATACCAGGTGAAAAGTGACTTTGGCACGTTACCGAGAAAGCAGCCTAGATTTGTTTTCCAATGTTTAGATGGTTTAAAATCTTTGATTGGCTAAGAGTTCTGATTACATTCAAATTCTCTATACCATATTGACCAATCAGAGTTCAAGAATTTGACAACAAACGTGTCTCGCAGCTAGATTTAGGCCCGTTTTGCACGTTTTTACCACTATCCACAAAAAATAAACGTTTTATCACGGTGCCGTTCATCTGCCACCATGCAAGATTCCTGTATATCTTACAAGATTTGTTTAACATGCAGTTATGTCAAAACTTTACAGTTATATTCGCTATTAGGGATACACTTGATTTTTGTGTAATGATAAAGTAAAGAATGATATTTTTTCTAAAAATGAATTTGGCAATGTGCATAGATATATTTCGACTTTTAATTTATTTCAAGAATAGTAATAATTGAGATTGGACTTCAAACGGTCTGTGAAAATTCCATAAGGAATTTGCAGTTAGCGTACAAGCTTTTTATTGCCTGGCTGAGAGATAATTTTGACATTTTTGCTTTAGATTATATTTTTAGAGTAGGCCAAGAGGAAAAATTTGGCTCAAAGCATTTTCTACCGTTAAAGGGGTGTTGTGATAAAACAAATTGAGGATAATGCCCAAATTAGATGAAAAATACTATACTGTAAATCCTCGAATAAGCCCCCACGCTCAAATAAGCCCCCTCCCTCAAATAATCCCCAACCTAAAAAATCATTTTTGCAAACAAGCCCCCCTCTCGCATAAAACCCCATGGGCGCTTATTCGAGGTAAGCATAATTGCAGAATAATATCTTATTTCAAGAAAGCCCCCGCAGGACAATAGCTTTACAGTATTACTTCCTTTGACTGGAGACCAAAAAGCAAAAAAGCGACTTTTGTGATGATAAAAAATTATAATCTTTGTTAGTTCTTTGTTAGATTTGTTAAAAAAATAATGTCGTTTTTATGTCGACCTTTAGAAAAAATTCTAAACTTTAAAATAAGCCCCCCTCGAATAAGCCCTCCCTCGAATAAGCCCTCCCTCGAATAAGCCCTCCCTCGAATAAGCCCCCCCCTCGAATAAGCCCCCCTCGAATAAGCCCCCACCCAAAAATTCATTTTTGCAAATAAGCCTCCGGTGGCTTATTCGAGGATTTACGGTATGTGCAAGACGTTGATGTTGATGCTCATCAAGTCTCTTGTACATTGATACAACTTATCTTGGTTTTTTGGAAAGGCTGAGTGTTTCCCTTGTTTAAAGATCTTATTATTCAAATATGATATTCATTTTCTACATATATTCAACCTATTGGGTGTAGCCCTATACTCAAAGATAATAAAGGATAGCTTAATAATAAAACAAGTTTGAGGGAATGTTTTACTCATGTTTTGTAAGGATGAGTGAATATGTTGTTCTCTTTAATCATAATGAGAGAATGTTGCTTATGTTGAGCATGTTGAATGGATCTGTTGCTCAATTCAAGAAAATGAGATTTTTTATATCACGAGCGCTCCAGGAGTGGTGCAAAACCCCTCAACCTACCGACCTTGTTTGTAGAATGGTTTTGGCCAAAACTGATGAAGGTTCGTAATCAAAAACAACATTTATGTCATGGTTCCGGCTCTTTTCATTTGCTGAAAGTGAATCATCAATGATACTTTGAACCATTTAAAATTCCATTGCTTGATAGTGGTGAGGTTACACTTTATAGTTGATCAATGTTTAAATATCAATCTACAGAGGTCACTTTACTAACGGAAAGTCAATTTGTGTTAAAATATTGATGTGGAAATAATGAATATCTATTACAAAAAAGGTCTGACATCGGATGTGGAGTTTGATAATTATTAAGATTATTACAGCTTTTTCAGGAAAAGTAATACTCTGCAAGAAATAAGCTATATTACTCTGCTATATCATATCATGTGCATTGTATTTACATAATCGTTTTCTAATCCAAAACTTTGATAAAACTGAATGACAGTATCTTACGGTTGATATTCCATTAGAGTTGATTAGGTACGTCAGAATAACCTCTTCATGATGCATGACTAAAACGTGTTAGCTGACCACCTGGTATACCAATGGTAAAAAATATCTTTGAAATTTAAGATGTTACTGTCACTCAAGGTGGATTGTATTTAGAAATAAAAATAGAAAATGATTATATTTCAGGTTTATCAAATGTTATTTTAGTAAAGCCAGTGAATAGTTCAAGTGACATTGAACAGGAAATCAAATTTACAAATATTAATCTATCTACATGAAAGGTAAAATAACGACTCGAAGACATTTTCTGAAGGTTGTGAATTTATTGATGTATATGTGAACTTTATACATTATTTTGAAATTTTTTGAAGACATAATGCTATCATGAATCTGACGACTTTGGTTCATTGATGGCCAAAGCATGAAATTTCAACGGAGAAAGTTTCAACAAGTTTTAGAAACGACCAACTGAAATCAGTTGAAATTTTAGCATTCAATGTAAAAGGGAGCGCTACTTTTGTCTTTAAGAGGAAACATCCATGATGATGCTGGTGCTGAGTCCTGCAAGGGTCATATCTGCGTCCGTTACTGTTGTTTGCCTAAAGCCCTTAAATGCATCCATGCTAAATACGTTACAACTTATCAAATATTTAACAGGAAAATCTCTCTCAATCAACGTAGAAATATATAATTCATCTCTCTCAATCAACGTTATTTAAGCAATGATAAAATCAAAAAAAAAAAATTCTATTACAGCAAGCAGCAATTAGGATGCTTTGTATATATGCATATGGGGCAGGGCCGTCCATTTGCCAAGCGACCCTTTAAGGAATTCATATGCTATAATTAAATGTACAATGCTTGTCAAAAGTCTTGGTACACCAACGTCAGTTTCCAAGGTGAAAATCAATCATTACCCTTCCCCCCTTTGAACAATGTTGGTTTACTACAAAAAAACGTAGGGGCTTAGGAAGAATGTTTTTTTCTGCGACTCCTATGATATTTTTCTAAATTTTCAACATTGTTTAGGGGGGTAGGGGGTGCGAAAATAGGAGTATCCGAGAAAAGAATTGAAAAAATATAAAAGCACAACGCAAATTGCTGGGTGTTCCAAGTACTTTTGGCAATGATTGTGTCGTTATTCTAGAAGTATAATTTGACGATGTTTTGCTGTCAACAAGCACCTTGTATACAATTTGTGGTTCTGTTGCTCTTAAGACACTTAGCACCACCTTTAATGGACTTGAACAGGAAATATACAATCGGGTTTGTTACAGTATTAAGCCAATATAAATAATATACTGCTATCCATGGACCATTGTGTCCCATTTCTGTACCGTAAATTATGTACAAGATAACATATGGAAAGAAGCAAACAACAAATAGGAGGAAAAGCATTCCTGAATATAGAGTAACATCTGAACCCGCGCTTGAATCTCGAGTGATCACAACGGGTCGATTTCGGATGCGATACACTATGAAAGCATACGAAAAAGCAATCACAACGCCAGTGACTAATATAAATGCAATTATATAGTAACTATCTTTAGTTAGACCAGTAACGGCTGATGATATAATCCAGATCAACGCCAATAACAAAGAACAACGAACTGGCGTCAAGATACGTTTGCAGCTGAATGGTAGCAGGACAGCCATCAGTCGCTGAATTGTTATGAATATTACATGCAGTTGACTTGATATTGAGCTGAATATGATTGTGCGCATGTAAGCATTAATCAGCATTTCAGGATATGGGTAAGGTAGATTCAATATCAGTACCAAAGCAGAGCAGAAGGCAACTGACAGACAAGCTAGCAAATCAGCCACTGACAGACTCAGCACCGATATTTGAAATGGCACTCGGTATTGTCCTCCTTTCATAATCATGATCATTTCCAGGGCATTCAGGGCAACGCCCGTCACACCTATCGCCACAAAGGCATAGTTGTGTTGTCTTTCCATTGGTAAGTCTGTTTCAGAAGATCCTTTGTTGTGTTTCTTTCGAATTTGTGTTGCGATCTGTGAAAAAGAGTGAATTCCTGTCGAAAGGAGTTAGGACTGGAATTATTCGTCAGTTGTTAGAAAGTTCCTGCAAATAGGAGAGACCTTCACTTAAAGTTTCATTGTAATACACATTCACTTGCTTCCATGCATCTATGCGAATCTTACCACGGTCGATTTTTCTGTAAAGTGAGCATTGATTGCTAATAAAAACGGCCTAAATCCTGCCCAAGCTTTTCCCATCGTAGCTTGTTCTGCAGCCCATGTCTCCTTGTTCTTGCATCGAGTTAATGTAATGAGCTTTCATTTGTACAAAATAAAACAAACAGCATCGCTGGGGGTATTTGGTTTCCATGTGATTTTCATGTGATCAATTGTTTTTTCTTCCAACCTTTCATACAAAAACATAATCCTTGTAAATTCAGTCTATTTAATGTGTTTCCACCACACCAATTGCTTTCTCTACCACCTGTCCCTGTAATATTATCCTAATGATGTGAGCATATTAGAGTGACGCATAGTTTTCACCAATGACTAACTTTTATTAAAACCAAGTTTTCCATTTGATCTTCTGATTACGAAACAGTCCAAACTAAAGGAAAATTTTGTAGATACGTTTATTTAGGCATTTTTGTATTGGTTTTGTTTTGTTAACAGAATTAAATAAAAAGTTTTGATTTCAGTAACCCATCTACTTTTATTAGATTGCTGCTTTTGGATGACATAATTTTTGGTATCCTCAAGGTTTTCAGTTTATACACAGCCCAGTCTTGCCATGCTCTACATTTGCTCAAATTTATGACCGATATGTCTCTTCCCCGGCCACCACGCCACTGCTGCTGCCCTTTAAAAAAAAACAAACTAAACGACAATTCAAGATGACAGCTTTAATCCTTACTGTAGCTGACTAAAGGAATTGCATCTGGATACAATTTTTTGTAACAGGCCTGCACTGACACTGACAAAAGACTTCTACTGACAAATGAACCTTATCCAGTTTATCAAAGAAGTATTCAATCGTCCAGATGTCTTTTCAGTCATTGCTCTATTTGTTGTTGATCCCATTGCATTGTTTGGTCATACTGTGTTCCCTAGCATTTGGTTTTTTTAATAGAGGGTGGTAAAAATGCCCAATATTCGGCTTTCGCCTAAGTTTGTTTACACTTTCCGGGCTTTGATTGGCTCAGCGGCGAGAGAGGTCACGTGATTTAGCTCAAGCTCTCAGCCAATCAAGATTTGACCCCTATACTGTGCCGTACAACCTTGGTTACACAGTGCCGTACAACTTTTGATATAGATAGATAACCAGTTCGCAAGAGTACAGATACATCAGATTTTTCTCAATGAATGGCTTCAGTTCAAACTCTCCTTGGATATTCGCAAATTTTTAATAAATTGTTCTGGCACTACAATATCATTGATAAAATCATCCCATCCAGTGCTTGTTTTGCCAGACCTTTACCAAAATTTGCGCACACTTTTTCCTAGATATATTTTCAAGAATCCTCCTTAAGTGCTGGATCCTTGACGTGCTCTAATCAACAAGAGGTAAAAATGTGCTACCGAGCACAGGGAGCACTGTCATGAAAAGCGAAGCTCGGCTTGGCAATAAAATTGTATTTTTCATAACAGAACTTTTGTTCGATCAAAAGTTGCACGGCTAACCGAATCGATTTTTATACGGATAGTCCAGTTCTAGTGTAACGGAAAGCCTATCCGTTTCGAATTAGGGAAATCTATATTGGGATTATGACTAATTTTCCTGAATACCAGTAACATCAAGAAATTTCTCGATTGTTGTAAGTAACAAAATCGTAAACAAAGAAACTAATTAAAAAATTCAGGGTGAATATGGTGCTTGCGAGCTTCCCGAATTATTTTTAAAGAGTTGAAATGAACCTAGCTATTTCTTTATCTCGACTGTTTGATTTTGCGCTGACGAGCCGAACCAGAGCCGAATTTGGCAGGAAAGCTGCAGATGGCAAATTCCTAAGGCAGAGTTCAATGCATGCATACTGATAAAAAACGCTGATGAAATTGCGAAATGAATACAGAGACTCTTGAAAGTTCATCAAAAGTGTATCTTTACATATAAACACATTGCTAATGTGTTCTCACTGACAATAATTGCCAAAATGTTAAAACAAGTAAGAATGGAAATAAATTAAAACGATTGGAATTTTGTGCATGGAATGTTAAGTCAATGCCAAATATTTTTCAATACACTGCAGACAGCCATACTTCGTAAACAAATACCCTTTCAAATAACAGTCAGAGCTTGTTTTAGTTCGTTATCAGAAATAGCAATGCTGATGTATTAAGTGCAACAAGCGTCATATCTGCATCCTTTACTGTTTATTTCCTAAACCTGTCCCAGATCAATTTAGACATGTTTGTTCTTGTACTGAAATACTTTGCAACGAAAAGGAAGAAATAAAAAACCAACTTCACTCCTCAAATGAATGAGCAACGGTGACTCTCTTTGTATGAATGTTCTCCAGCGCCATTTACATCACCATCTTACCAGAAAACAGAATACTGAACGTCTTTGTACGTTAAAACCGAACTTCAAATTTAATAAGCCTTAGCATCCAATCATGAAAATAATTGTGTTTTATTGAGAAGGAGAAGAGGCATTAGTACCTGCAGTTAGATGGGTCTTACAAAGCTTTCCAGCACTACCTTTAAACACTTTGAACAGAAAATACACCAGCGGGTTTGTTACCATATTAAGCCAATACATATAATAAGTTACCACTGGATGAGGTTTTTCGTTATTGTGACCGTTGATGAATGTAAAGCAAACAAACGGAAAATAGCATGCAACGAAAAGGATGAAAAGAATTCCAGAGTATATAATAAGATCTAAACCGGTCGTTAATTCTCCATTTGGCACAACGGGACGATTTCGGATGCGATATACTATCAAGGCATATGAAAGGGCGATCATAACGGCACTTACTACTGTCAAGACATTTATAACATAAGGCATATACTTCATTACACCTGTAACAGTTAACGATATTATCCAGATCAATGTAAGTAGTAGACCACATCGAAATGACGTCATGATATGCTTACAGCTGAATGGGAATAGTACAGCAATCAGTCGCTGAACTGTTATCAGAATTACGTGAAGTTGGCTTGATATCGAGCTGAAAGTGACAGCAAGTACATAAGCATTGAGCACCATTGTAGTTTCTGGGGTTTCTTTCTGCATCGTAAGTATCAGAGCAGAGCAGATTCCAACAGGTAATGAGGTCAGCAAATCAGCTACTGCAAGACTCAGTACGGACATCTGGAAAGGAATTCGGTATTTCCCTCCTTTTAAAATAATGAAAATTTCCACGGCATTCAGGAAAACGCCGGTCAAACCTATTCCCGTAAATGCATAGTAGTGTTTAGTTTCCATTCTCAGTTATGAACCAGTATTGATCGTTGTTGAGTTTGGTTGAGAAAAAATCATATGCACATTATTATATGTATATCATATGCACAAGGTCCCTGCGATTTGGAGAGTCCTATATTCAGAGTGTCATGAATACACACATGGTTGCCTGTTTTCTTGCATATTTCAGAAGACAGACACTGCAAGTTTTTCGGTTCAGCTTGTCTTTATTGCTAGTAATTACTGCCAATCTATTTTCGCTTGCCACTTACAGATGAATTCGTGTTCAAGCTACCAGCGATGTGCCTTATTCTGCCTCCCTCGTCTCCTTCTTGTTGCCCCTGGCAGAGTGTAGACTATGTATTCATATAATCGACCCAGATTCATTTCCTACAAAATAAAGCGAATAGGAAACCCGGGGGTATTTGATTATCGTGTGTTTTCAGATGATCAGTTGTGGTTGCTCCCCATCATCCAGATGTTCAGTTTATTATCAGCCTATTCTTGCAATGATCTACATTTGCTAAAGTTTGTAATTTAAATCAAAGTCCTTCACAAAAAACTCATTGAGATTCAACAAAAAACTCATTGATCACTCTAAATAATTCAACTAAGCTTAATTCAACTAAATCTGCCTTGGTTGCGCAAAATTTGAAAATAGCACGGAAAAGCGGAAACAAACAAGTATGACGTGTTTCTGCTTTTCTGTGCTATTTTCAAATTTAATCCAACTGGTTGAAGAATGTGTTATGTTTCTTGAAACAATTTTAGGGGTTGACAGATTGCTCTCTACGACAAAAATAACCCAAAACATTAAATCTAAAGCGCAGTTGATTAGATGAATTGAATCTGGATACCAAATTATAATCCAATGAAACTCCACATATTTATAAACTGTACCCCGTTTGTCAAAAAGTATAAGACCGTTCAAATTTTCATTGCTTCATTCGTTGTTCATCATCTGGCAGCTTTTTATTGTAATGCTCTTACCTTTCAGAGATGTACATCCTCTACCAGAAACTGTTGATTTTCCTGGAAAGCACTGAAAATATCCTCGGTATGTACAAAAATGACCACGCTTGATTTTGTAATGTTTTCTGCTGTTTTCTTTATGCCAATAATTGTAACCATGTTTTACAATTTTACAAGTTGCGGATATTTAAGGCGTGTACCATTGAACTGGTACGTTGTAAGTTTACATTGCAATTGGCTTTATGTTCAGTGAAATATGACTACCAAATATAAATATTATCAACTTCGCTTTTCACTGAAGCTGAAACTTCAGCGGGATTCCGGTATACAGGAGCGGCGCCAAGAAATTGAAATTGGGGAGGGGGGGGGGGTAGGGGCTCTAGTTAATAGCATTATTTGACTGAAAAACAAACTCTTGAAAAACGCACTAAATGCTTCACGATATGTTATGTTTATGAATTTATGGGACACTCGTCATGCTAGCGATACCCTAATAGGGCGGGGTGAAGTTATTCGGAGGCCGTAGGTACATCCTGGAAAAGAAATTCTTTTGTATCATGCACTTTAGATTAGCTAAAAATACATTTCAGAAAATTTCTTGCAGTAATTTTCTTGCAGTCTATCGATTAAACATTTTTGCTATTTTTAAGGCATGCTTTTGTTACGTTTGATTAAATCCAGTCTTGAAATTTTCATGAGGCCACATAGACCTCGGTTTATTCCTTTGAAATTAAGCAATAAAATGATTTACTGCACTATGGTTATCTTCTACTACTTTTCATTTAGTATGAAAGCAACTTCAGCTGAAACCCCTCCCAGCCTCCCTTCCTTTGGCGCCGCCCATGGTTTAACAAGCTTTGATGGAAAAAAGAATAGGGTTTCTATATTTTGGGATTTCCTTTCGTTCTTGTAAATGCCATTCTGATAAACGAATAATTTTTTTTCATCATCTACCTAAACAAACTTCTATTCAGAAACAATCCTAAATTAGAGCAACATTTCATAATTCAGTTTCAACAACAGTTGCTGGGTTCTTCAAGTATGAAAGGAGCTTTAAATAAAATTATTTATCAACCTTGAAATGTTAATGGTCAAGAGACAGATTTAGTAGTTTTGTGTACTTGCAAACTGAAGACATACCTACTTGTTAACATCATCTATATAAACTGCAAAAAATTTACATGGTTAGAGCCGTGATTTGACGTAACCAAATTAATTATCTACCGATTCACTTAGCACATGGCTGTAAATGCCAGAACATTCAAAGACCACCATATGAATCTCGTTTTAAAAGAATTCAATAATATTTTGTAATATATTCAACAACAGAAAAGGCTAAGAGCCAGTATCAAAATTAAGGATATCAAATTCACTGAAAACAGATTGTATAAAGAAATGAAAATGTTGGGTAACCTTCAAAGATATTTCAATTTTTCAAGTGCTCTTTGATTACGTTAGGTAACACTGATGTTATTTGATTTTACCTTTTTGGATATAGTGACTGGTGGCCTTCGTGCTCTCTGCAAATCTATATTATGCCGAATAAAATGAAAACATTCTTGGAACAATAAGTTTTTCCTTGAAGATTTATCAACAATAGTTAATTAATTATACTAAAAATTAATTAAACGAGCTAGGCTACTATCATTGGCCTGTTTCCATACTGTCATTGTTTAAATTTGTGCTGTGGAGCCGAATTTTATTCGCAAGCTGCATGCAGCCAGACCCTATGGCAGATTGCAGTATATGCATATTCTCTAAAAACTTGATCAAATTATGTCACGATGACAAGTGTATTTTATTATATTGTTTGAGACCAAGCCAAAATTTCTGGGATTATTACACTTTAGTAAAATGTTTACCTTTAACAAAGCTTTTCAAACGGCAAAAGAAAAATTTAGATGGAAACAGGGTCTAATAGAAAAGTTTATGCTATAGTTTATGCTAATATATATGTTTTGCTATACTTTAAAGACAGGAAGTACACTTTTGATGCTCAATATAATTAAAGACCCTTTTGCAATTTGACTTTAGGCAGATAAGACGGAGAGATGAGATTCATATCGAATACAAGTTCTTCTATTATCACTTTATACAGACAACGAACACACGGCTAAACTCTACCAGTCCTATGCCAGGACCTTAACTCGTAAAGCTATCATTGTATGTTTATATTTATAAGCAAGTTGCTAATGCGTGCTAACTAATAACAATAGCCAATCAGTTAAAATCACGTAAGAATGAAAATCAAATTGAAAGAGTCCTCCTTTCCTGATAAAAAGAGCATCCCCAATGAAATACCAAAGTCTTAAAATAGTAAAGTAAATGCCAAAGTCATACTTCTTGAAAATATGGCATTCCAAATAACAGGCAGAGCTTGTTTTAGTCACTCAGAAAAAATACATATACTGTGTTCAGTGCAACAAGGGTCATATCTGCATCCTTTACTGTTTATTGCCTGACACTACCCCAAATCAAATTTAAAGAGGTTCATAGTACTAAAGTAAGACTATGAATGATTGATATATCCATCTCAATTACCGCTCGCGAAATGAAGAAGCAACGGTGATACTTTATGTATGCATCTGCTGTAAAGCTAGAGTATATCTCTAAACCTCCCAGAACACGCTATATTGGCCTTCTTATTCATTACCAAGAAGCCTCCAGTTCCCAAAATTTGAATAAATATCATTGTGGACAAGTGTCTTGCATAGTATCTGATGTTTGATGGGTCTTACAGCACTTTCCAGCACCTCCTTTAAACACCTTGAACAGAAAATATACCAGCGGGTTTGTTACGATATTAAGCCAATACATGTAGTATACTATTATCCATGGTCCATGTTCACTCTTGTGGCCTTTGATAAATGTATAGCAAGTGAATGGAAAATAGCAAGCGACAAAAAAGATAAAAAGAATTCCAGAGTATAGAATAAGATCTAAACCTTTCGTAGAATCTCTATTGGAAGCAATGGGACGATTTCGGATACGATACACAATCAAGATATACGAAAAGCCAATCACAGCGCCACTTATAATTGTCAAGACGTTTACGGCATGATACATATACTTAATTAGACCAGTAGCGACTAACGACAATATCCAAATCAATGCTAGCATCAAACCACATCGAAATGACGTCATGATACGCTTGCAGCTGAATGGGGCTAGTACAGCAATCACGCGCTGAATTGTTATAAATATTACGTGTAGTTGGCTTGATATTGAGCTGAAGATTACTACAAGTATGTAAACAAAGTTTGTCATGTTATAATCTTGGCTACCTATTTTCAGTGACAATAGCAAGACAGAGGAAATGAAGACCGTTAAGGATGTTAGCAAATCAGCCACTGCCAGACTCAGCACCGACATTTGAAATGGCACTCGACATTGCCCTCCTTTCATAATAATGATCATTTCCAGGGCATTCAAGGCAACGCCCGTCACACCTATCGCCACAAAGGCATAGTGGTGTTGTGTTTCCATTGGCTAGTTTGTTTCAGTAGATTCTTTGAAAACTAAAAGATCGGAGCATCCCTTGTTTCATTCCTTTTTGCTTCATGATAAAATTTCTCTACCACGTACAGTTGCTTTCTTGCATCATTAACACAGTCGATGTCTCAGAGAGGTTGGTATTGATTGTCAATAGAAGCGGTGTAACTGATGTGGTCAGTTTATTTTTGCTTGGCACGTACAACTGAATTTTGTCCGAACTATTCTTCAAGTGGCTTAGTCTGCAGGCCACATCTCTTTGCTGTGGCTCTTTACAGCGTGAAGAACATACACTCATATGATGTACTCAGATTTTTTTTGCGAAATAAAACGAATAAAAACCCCGGATTTGATTTTCATGTGAGTTTTTATCTATCAGCTGTGTTTTCCTCCTGTCTTTCTGACACATGAATTATGTATATCTTTCATATATAATTTTGAAGCACCTTGTTAGCATATAACAGCGAAAAATCATTGTCACAAATGACTGAGTATAATTACAACCTAGTTTCCTTTGATCTCCTAATTATGAAAAAGTCAAAACTGAAAGAAAATTTGGTCAACACACCAAGTTACATGATTTTGCACTGGCTATTTCAACAGAAAAAACAAACAAAGCTTTGATTAAAGTAAGCAATCGACTTTTAATTAGGCGCTGCGTTTGAGATTACTTGATTTCTGGCATCATCCAGAAGTTCAGTTTATAAATAGGCCTGCCTTGCCACGCTTTACATCTGCTCAAATTTATTGTATAGATATGAAGTTTATAGACAATGTTAGGTGTTGGTGTTCTTGCAAACATACTGCTAAAGCTACCAACTACAAAGATTTTAAGCCATACTGCAGATAATTAGACGAGCTAAATCTGGATGTTAATCAATCTTGAAGATGTCTTTCCATCATTCTAATTCACAGAAAGGGTAACAGGCAGTGCAAAAGAATCTATAGGCCTGTTTCATTGCCGCCAATTTTTGGCAAAATTTTTGAATTGCTGTCATTTTATGTAATCTACCCTCGTCTCACAGAAAATTGGTTACTGACTTTCCAACGATCTTGATTCCTTCCGGGTGACTCATCGATCAATCAGCTTTTGTATGTCACCCTTATGATATACCATACTGTGCATACCGTGAAACTTCAAATAAGGGAACTCGTGCAGTCATGGTTTCTTCTAGAAACCTATTTAAGGCCTTCGATAAAATGTGGCATGATGGTCTCGTCTATGAATTTGAGTGCATTAGAATATCAGGAAATAAGTAACGCTCTGGCTTTGTCAAAAATTGTCAAATTGTTTGAAATTTCTCTTCTAAAACCAGGTTGCTGTCCTATATGATCAGGATATGCAAGAGCAAAATTTCATTTCGGATTAAGAGTTGTCTTTTTTCGAAAACTATCGCAAGGACTTTTTACTAGGAATGTAGAAAAGTTGCTGCTGTGCTATTATCTCAACGGTTTGTTTTCGTAACATCAATTTTTATATGAAAATCTAGAAATGGTTTCATCTAGCAGTTTTAGAATCTATCTGCATCAAAATGAAAAAAATATGCAAATATGCAAATATGTAGAATATGCAAATATGCAGAGTATGCAGAA